CATCACATAGCACTCTGAGGAGATATATTCTCATAAAAGTGTTCATCACATAGCACTCTGAGGAGATACATTACAGTTCTCTGCACTGTGTAATATAACGTATCTCTACACTATAGGTCTTGTTTCACTGGCAACAACAACTTTCCATATAGCTACACTGTGTGTATTGTTACCGATCACTATACTATATGTAGTGAAATATCTCTTCACTAACTTCTAAAATTGAAATTGATGTTTTTGTCATTTTACCATAGTAGATTTGCTTGGATCTTGTAATTATAGTTCCAGATCACAATAAAATAGAGGGTAATAGATCCTTACACAATATACAGTGTAACAGGTCTCTACACTATATTATAGCATAGCTGATCACTTCATTATGCAGTTTAACAGATCCGTATAATACATGGAGTGAAACAGATCTCTAACCCTGCCTAAGAACAGAAGAAAACCGAAACGCTGATTAGTATCTTAAATGAAAGGCCACGTTTATGATATAAAATAAACAACACTCCTACAACAATATATAACCAAATGCCTCCAGCGGGTACTCACGGAGGTGAGGGGGTGTAGAGGGGCACCCGGGCACTACTTGGGTATGGGCTCCTTTTGCCTCACGCCCCATGCCCAGGGATCTGAGGTTTTGGTATCTCCTTAAGGTGCCGTCAATGCCAAGCAGAGGGAGATGAGATGTGGTGGAGAGCAGCATGCACGCTGCCAGTATCAGGACCAGGGTTACCAGCAGGTGCGCCCGTGACACCCACGCCACCACCACCCGCGCCCACTGCCCGCCACGCCCCTCTAAACATCCCCCGCCACCGTACATCTTCTCTGAAAAGTGTATATTGGGAGTTGACGTCTGGTGCCTTGCTGACAGGCGGGTCGTGTAGTGGTGACGTCGACCACAGGTGACACACAGCTTGTGTAGTGGTGACGTCGACCACAGGTGACACACAGCTTGACTTGTGTAGTGGTGACGTCGACCACAGGTGACACACTGCTTGACTTGTGTAGTGGTGACGTCGACCACAGGTGACACACAGCTTGACTTGTGTAGTGGTGACGTCGACCACAGGTGACACACAGATTGACTTGTGTAGTGGTGACGTCGACCACAGGTGACACACAGCTTGTGTAGTGGTGACGTCGACCACAGGTGACACACAGCTTGACTTGTGTAGTGGTGACGTCGGCCACAGGTGACACACAGCTTGACTTGTGTAGTGGTGACGTCGACCACAGGTGACACACAGCTTGACTTGTGTAGTGGTGACGTCGACCACAGGTGACACACAGCTTGACTTGTGTAGTGGTGACGTCGACCACAGGTGACACACTGCTTGACTTGTGTAGTGGTGACGTCGACCACAGGTGACACACAGCTTGACTTGTGTAGTGGTGACGTCGACCACAGGTGACACACAGATTGACTTGTGTAGTGGTGACGTCGACCACAGGTGACACACAGCTTGTGTAGTGGTGACGTCGACCACAGGTGACACACAGCTTGACTTGTGTAGTGGTGACGTCGGCCACAGGTGACACACAGCTTGACTTGTGTAGTGGTGACGTCGACCACAGGTGACACACAGCTTGACTTGTGTAGTGGTGACGTCGACCACAGGTGACACACAGCTTGACTTGTGTAGTGGTGACGTCGGCCACAGGTGACACACAGCTTGACTTGTGTAGTGGTGACGTCGACCACAGGTGACACACAGCTTGACTTGTGTAGTGGTGACGTCGACCACAGGTGACACACAGCTTGACTTGTGTAGTGGTGACGTCTCCAAGACACAGTCACCTCACAAGCTGTGAAAAATAAATATTACTCTTAAAGTTTTTTCATTAAAATAATGTTTGAAGTAAATTGACATAATATTTTGTTCACAGACACCGAAACCTTCCCTAACCTAACCTTCCATAAACAATGTAACCTAACCTTCCATAAACAATGTAACCTAACCTTCCATAAACAATGTAACCTAACCTTCCATAAACAATGTAACCTAACCTTCCATAACCAAACTAAGCTAACCATCTATATTCAACCTAATCCAACCTTCCAAAACCAACCTAACCTAACCTTCCATAGCTACTGTTATGTGGGGACTGGTGGATGTTCTGTGAGGGTCAATAGCTAAGGTCAAAGAGTTCCTAAAAGAGTGAGAGTTTGGCATCACCCCGGTCCCCAGGGAAGACAATTCCCAGCAAATAATACTTGTCCTATATAAAATTTTGCAGTCTAAAGGTCAGGCACTTCACTCCAAACAGGGTGAAAGGATACTCTTAAACCTTATTCCTTATTTATTAATCCCCCCTAATAACCCCCATATACAGAATACAGAATACATTATATTACTTTACCACTCTACCTTATGTTAAACTTCTTGAATCCACATAGGCAGGATACAAGGCTTACAACTGTAAACTACGGTAAAGACTATTTTCCTAAAGGGACACTAGAACACTCAGCCCCTAATGATAAGTTTAATTATGCTGACCTTCCTATTTGTATTCAGACTGAGCCTACTATCATTATAGGTAATTATGACGCTAGGCATAAAAATATTGGTAATTCGCAGTTCAGTAATCGTAACGGCAACCAACTGTTGTCACTCTTAGGTAGTCACGATGATGCGCAGATTGTGAGTGACCTTGAACCTACGCATATCTATGGAGGTATTCTTGATCTATGTCTCGGTGTCAACGTCTCCCACACCGTGTGTGCCTCGTCAATAGTGCCAGATATGGCGTCTGATCATCTGGCCATATTAGCCACTGTAAGCATCGGAAGCTCTATCCTCCCTGGTGGAGTGTTCAAGCGGAAGAGGCTGGCTGTGCCCATCCATCAACGAGACAATTTTGTTGCTCATGTGTCAGACTGGTACAGTTCATCTGAGCCTTCATCAGTTAAAGATTTTAACAATGAGCTCACAGGTACTATCGAGCAGTTAATAGAATCACTTGATCCATCGTCCAGGCCACGTAACCCAAATTACACTGGTCATAGCACTTATGCTTATTATAATGATTCTAAATTGCATGCTCTAAAACGCACTGCCAGAAGAATTGGACTAGCTTATAGAAGGACCCGCACTGCTGAAATGCTTCGGCTCTTTCAAGCGGCTCTGGCTGAGGCCAGGGAACGTATGATAGAGCTGAGGCAGACAGACTGGGAAACTTTTGTCAGTGGTCTCAATTCTCACACGCCACTAAGTCGGGCATGGAAGGATATCAACAAGATCAAAGGGAAAAATGCTGCAGAGATCGCGCACCCTAATCCTCTGCACAGAGCAAATGAGCTTGTTGATGCTTGGGCCACAACTTCCAGCTTTGATAGTTTTCCTATTGTGCATACTATTGTGCATACTATTAGTATGATCCCGATGACTTTTGATAAAAGCTATATTTTGAGTTAGTTCTTGAGGAACTGTTTGATTTTTCTATATATATCTACATATTTTACTGTGTCATGCATAGAAATGCCCCAGTAAACTGGTGAATTTTATTGACTTTTCCCTAACCCTAGACAATATTATTGTAGGCCAGGTGACTTTATTGTGACTTCGGGAAGATTCAATGTCGCCAGTGATGGTGTAGAGCTCGCAGACACCACACCCGACTGAGCTGGCTCATGGTTCAGGTAGTGAGTCAGACGCAGAAGATGACATTCTGTCAACTCTCATCAGTAGTCAAGTTCAATCTTTTCACCCCCATGGTAACAAGATCTCGAGCTGTACAGTAAAGGATTAGTTAACTCCCTTAGTCAGGATTAGTAAAGTTCATATATTTCCTGTATCTTGAGGTTATCTTGAGATGATTTCGGGGCTTTAGTGTCCCCGCGGCCCGGTCCTCGACCAGGCCTCCACCCCCAGGAAGCCAGCTGACTAACTCCCAGGTACCTATTTACTGCTAGGTAACAGGGGCATTCAGGGTGAAAGAAACTCTGCCCATTTGTTCCTGTAGAGGCAATGGTGTGGATTTACTGAGGTGCAGGACTCAGGTAACACCCAGAGTAATCTCCATGCTTCTGCTAGTTGTTGTTGTTGGTTTTCTCAGGTCTGATGGTGCACCCATTCCAGCCTCCAATGCAGTCACACATGAAACTAGGATCAAGATCAGAGGGTTGGGATGACCTTCCGTTCTGATAAGATCGGGGTTAAGGTACGTTACATAAAACCCGTTCCCCATGTACCCAGTAACTCGTCAATTAGTTACCTGGAAGAAGTAACTACTCCAGTCACCGGCGAATACCTCATGTCACTAATGAGGTTGTCTGAGCTAAGTATGCTGTCTTCCCGGAGCAGAGGCCAGAGCCAACGTAATATCACCGTGGGCTAACTGTCTCAAGGTCACCAACTTAGCCCACCAGCCTCGTCGTCAAGACTGTGGAAATCAGAAGTGAAGGAAGAGAAGTGTGTAAGGAAATACGTAGGTTGCTGGCGACTCATCAGCCCCATCAGCTATGTCGTCTGTGGAAACCGAAGCAACAACATGGTCCCAGTTATCAAAAACATTGTCCCTACAGATTTCGGCTGTCTCACCAGATGGGGTACACTCCTGTACCTCGGCCCAAGTTCAGCTGCACAAGGGTATGCACGGAATGTGTGTAAGGGCCAAGTAGTACTGAGTTAACAAGTAAATTCCAGAAGATGATGTCACCCAGGAGGTGGCATGGGCTTAAGGGGCCTGACAGCTGAGTGGACAGCGCTTCGTATTCGTAGTCCTGAGGTTTCGGGTTCAATCCCCGTGGAGGCAGAAACAAAAGGGCAGAGTTTCTTTCACCCTACTGCACCTGTTCACCTAGCAGTAAATAGGTGAATAGGCACCTGAGGCAGACAGCTGCTACAGGCTGCTTTCTGGGGGGTAACAAAAAAGAGACCTGGTCGAGGACTGGGACGCTAAGCCCCAAAATCATCTCGAGATAACCTCAAGATAGCAGCAGAGCCCACTTGTTCTACCACATGCCGACCTCTTCAACACCACTCGAAACTCACTCCCAACACGAGACATTGTTGCACGTCGAAGCTCTGTTCTACTGTTGGTAACCATGATTATCAGTTCCATCATGATGGTTTGTGAACAATGAGGTGTGGTGAACCCTGTTCAGTTAGCAGGGTTTACCTGGGTCGGCAGCCAGCTATAGCTGTCACCTGTCACTCACCACTCGGCTACAAGCAGAGGTACAAGACCCAGTACTCTCCGTGTATTTTGGCAGAGGCTGGAAATGGGAGTTCCAGAGGACCAGCATCTTCAAGCAGTAAGAGGTTGTAGCCGGTTCTACAGCTCAACTACATATAAACGATTTATATCTCTAGAAACAAAAACATGGAATATTTAAATGTTAATTATTGGTAGGGTTCAATATTAGTTCAACTTTTGCTATTCCATGTTGTAAACTAAGATCATCTTAATATCTAGGAACGTGACTCTGGAACATTATTAAATGTGGAAATCTAGAAGTATATAAATGTGGAAACCTACAAGAATATAAATATAAAAAACTCGAATTATAATTGTGGGAACCTTTTGAGGGAGTGTTCCTTTATTGTATTATTGAAGATTTGATTGTTAACTTTGCTGTGTTACGTGTTCCAGGAGGAGACACTTAGATAGCTGACGGCTATCCAGTGATGTAGCTAGTTGAACTTTTGATAGGTAGGAATTTTCAATTATTTCAGCTATATCAGGCCAGGTATAGAATGTTTTGTTCTTCTAGACGAGTTGGAAGGCATGCTGGGCTGCGTCCAAGATGGACAGCCGGGATCATGAAGATGGTCTTCCATCCTCATTTGTTTTATGTATCATTTGTTGATTCATGTTATTATTTAATTTCATGCATTATAGGGTGTTATTAATGTTGTTTGGTGATTGGAATTAGTTAGGATTAGATAAAAAAAATTAAACAAAGGTTTGGTCCAAATGTTATTTTTTGGGTTCATAGTTAGAGTAGGTGCAGGATAAGAAATTCGTGCTTTAAAGCAATTTACACACGAATTTCTTAAATTCGGAGAGAGGGAGTTGTAACAGTGGAGTCAACTGCTATTCCCTTCCCCATTTCCCCCTCCTCTTCCCTTTGTTTTGTCTCTCCCTCCCTTTTCCTCTCATCACCTCCCCTCCCCCTCCACCTATAAACCTCTTCGAGTCAAATGTCCTTAAGTGATGAGAACATCCTAGCGTTCCCCCACTCCCTTGTTGCCCACTCCCCCTTCTCATTTCCAGCCCTCTCTCTCCCCCTCTCTCGTTTCCAGCCCTCTCTCTCCCCCTCTCTCATTTCCTCTCTCCCCCCACTCTGCTTCCTCCCCGTCCCTGCTATAGCCATGGACAGCGGGTAATATTTCAGCAGGCTCCTAAACATACCCCTGCTCATGTTACCTCTAGAGGTCTGGGTCCTTACGGTCAGTTTTGTGTAATGTAGAAACAGATAGGATCTGTTTTTTCTTGCAGCTGGTGTACAGCCCATTCTAGCCTACGGGGGTAAAACATTCCCTTCCAGGCAGGCCAAGCCAGACCAGGAGCTTCATTGGTGGAGAGCCATGGAGGCCTAGTGGGCAGAGCCCCTCAGGACAGTGCCTGGCACTGATTGGCTGGACTCAGGCCTAGAAGCCTGGACTTAAACATGCTTGGCTGTTGACTACCAAAATGGGTGGAGCCATTCTTCACTTGTAGGTTATTAAACTAAAATTTAGTTAGTATGACTTGGGATTGTGCTGAGGCCGGGATTCCTGGGGCTGGAATCGAGCCAGTAATATCTCAAAAAGATAATAGAACGTAAAGCATTAGAACGGTATGTGTTATCTTGTTTCATGCAAAATTTCAGTAATTGCCATGCCGTGCCTCTAAATAGGAATTATTTACCTAGGATGTATTTACATGTCATTTTATTAATAAAGGTTCTTGTTAAGTGATTTTTTTTTGTATTTAGTTAATTTCACTCCCACATTATATTCTGAGTTCTTGAGATCATAATTTGTTCTGGAAAGCTACCTGTGTTCCTCCATCCCATTCTGGAGTATATTTATATTCCCTTTGTCGTGAGTAAGTAATTAAACAGTCCATCATTATACTCGAAGCAAGCACATTGTACCTAGACGGCTGGATCCTGGGGCCCCTTCCCCTGGGGCCAGTCATCTAGTTATATTTGGGAACTGGGGAAGTGGTGGCACTGATTACATATAATCATTATTATACATTAAGGCATAACATTTAGGTGTGTCTTCATTTAAGAACATCCGTGTTCATCAAAGTTGGTGAGTACGTTTTTGGGTCAAGTAGGCTGGCCGACGGTTGTCAAGCTGGTGTTATAAAGTGGAGGTGGAAGAGTCTGGTGTTACACACTACCTATAGCATTGCTATTAAAAAATCTCTATCTTGAGGTTATCTTGAGATGATTTCGGGGCTTTAGTGTCCCCGCGGCCCGGTCCTCGACCAGGCCTCCACCCCCAGGAAGCAGCCCGTGACAGCTGACTAACTCCCAGGTACCTATTTACTGCTAGGTAACAGGGGCATTCAGGGTGAAAGAAACTTTGCCAATTTGTTTCTGCCTCGTGCGGGAATCGAACCCGCGCCACAGAATTACGAGTCCTGCGCTCTAGTGTCGTACTTTTCCCGATATCCTAAAAAAAGCATGAGTGCTGCAAGTTCATAAAGAAGGCGAGAAAGCTGACACAAACAATTACAGACCAATACCAAATCTATCTATACTTTCAAAAATATTTGAAAAAAAATCTTTACAAACAGTTATATTCGTACTTTGTAAAACTCAAGATATTAAGTCCCTGCCGGTTTGGCTTCTGTTCCCAAGAGTACCAATGATGCCATTATTAGTCTGCTTGATATAATCTACACAGCTCTGGACAAAAATAAAAATGAGTTCCCAATTGGCCTCTTCATTCTTCTTCATTGGCTTCAAATGAAGCCTTTGGTACTGTAAACCATAACTACCTCTTATTTAAACTTCACCACTATGATATTCGAGGTCATGCTTTGGACTATATTCGTTCCTATATCAGTGACAGACAGACACCTATATGTAGTGATCAACAGATTAACCTCCCCCACTCTATCATTAACAGTAGGGGTGCCACAGGGCAGGATCTTCGGACCTCTCCTATTTTTTATATACATCAATGATTTGCCAAATGTTTCTAGGATTCTTAAAAGCCCACACACACACTCTAAATAATATGGTCAACAATTAATTTTAAAAAAATCCACTCGTGGATGTCAACCAACAAACTTACACTAAATATAGAAAAGACCTTCTACATTATATTTGGTAGTAAATCATCAAATCAGATTCAACTTCAGATAAACAATGTTAATATTACCAATAAAAATGATGGGAAGTTCGTTGGTCTATACATAGACAAGAGACTGAACTTCAGCACCTACATATAACACATTGCCAACAAAAAATGAAAAACGGTCGGTTTACTTTCTAAAATCAGATATTATGTTCCCCTCTCTGCTCTCCTCCCATTATACTACACACACTAATCTATCCCTATCTTACATACGGTATCCGTATATTGGGTTCAACCATTGCAAATTACCTAACGCCTATCATCACTCAGCAATAATCCTTTATCCCAACTATAACAAGCTTTGTCTTCAGACAACACACAGCCCCACTATTTAAGTCCCTTAATATGCTAAACATACATTCACTCTACACAGTCTCATGTACTATCTACATGTACAAAACCGAGTTCCTAAATGCTATTCATGGTCTGAAACTTTTCCTTGAAAGGTGTAATGGAACCCATGAGCACCACAACAGAAATAAATATAGCTTTGATATTCCCCAGAGTCAGACTAAATCTGGGCAAACATTCCATGCAAATAAAAGGGCCCAGTCTTTGGAACTCACTCCCTGATGAATTAAACAATTGTTCAACTCATGCCCTCTTCAAAAGTAAAATAAAAAAGTACCTAATTTCATCCTCATAGTTTCCTATCTTGTGCTTCAAACTCACACTGTATCTTGCACTACCCACTTCCCCCATATTAGTACTTAAGACATATATCCGTACCATTGTAATCACCTGTCAACTTATGTTGTAGTTATTTGTTGATATAAAACCTTGCTACACTGTACCCTTTCATCTTACCTGATGTCTTAGATTAAGGACCTGCCCAAAACGCTGTGTGTGTTAGTGGCTTTCCATGAATGTAAAAATACCAATCCAATGTAATCTCACCAGCCCATTGTACATTCTTGCAAAAAAATTATTATTATTATTATTATTATTATTGTACAACCACTAGCACGCATAGCGTTACGGGCAGGTAACGCCCGTAACGCCCGTAACTTACTCCTAATTTTCCACGGAATACGACCCGCCAAATCGTTTAACAACCAGGTACCCATTCCCTTCTGGGTAAACAGTGGTACAGTTAAGGATTGGCGCCCAGTAAATCCTCCCCTGCCAGGATACAAACCAAGGCCAAAGCAATAGCGAAGCGCTAAGCTTATATGCTTGATTCTTGCTTAATGGGGTTCTGGGAGTTCTTCTACTTCCCAAGCCCGGCCCGAGACCAGGCTTCACATGTGAGAGTTTGGTCCACCAGGCTGTTGCTTGGAGTGGCCCGCAGGCCCACATACCCACCACAGCCCAGTTGGTCCGGCACTTTTTTTTAGAAAACAATCTAGTTTTCTCTTGAAGATGTCCACGGTTGTTCCGGCAATATTTCTTATGCTCGCTGGATGTTGAACAACCGTGGACCTCTGATGTTTATACAGTGTTTTCTGATTGTGCCTATGGCACCTCTGCTCTTCACTCGTTCTATTCTGCATTTTCTTCCATATCGTTCACTCTAGTACGTTGTTATTTTACTGTGTAAATTAGGGACCTGGCCTTCCAGTATTTTCCACGTGTGTGTTATTTGGTATCTCTCTCGTCTCCGTTCTAGTGAGTACATTTGGAGAGCTTTGAAACTATCCCAATAATTTAGGTGCTTTATCGCGTCTATGCGTGCCGTATATGTTCTCTGTATTCCCTCTATTTCAGCAATCTCGCCTGCTCTGAAGGGGGAAGTGAGTACTGAGCAGTACTCGAGACGGGACA